CCTAGGATCTTATTTTAATTAGATTGCACTGCGTTCAGAACCAGTAGCCCCGACAAGTTGTGGCGATAATCTCGTTCTATATATACGAAGTCGAATTTTTAGTATATTCAGATTTTATCGGAAAAAGAGCCATTACCCGAAGTAGTACATGTATTAAATAAGAGCCAAGAACTACGATTATATACAACCACCATCTTTTATATACTAGTATTAAAGTTATCGGTTCTGGGAGCTTTCACCAACTTTCTAGCATAATAAGTCCACTCGCAGTTTGTAATGTCATTGGCGTGGTTGCTGGTCCTTAGCCTAGACACAAGCAGCCACTTGACCTTGACTCTGCACCACAGGATTCCCATCACTGTGGATGTACACAATATAAACTGTCACCAATGAGATTCTGAATTTTTTGAGTTATGAAAACATCGGGTTACAAAAATTAACTGACGAACAACAAAGATTGTTTAATTTTTTTTTAATGTCCACATTTACTAACTTCAAGTTGTAACAGTTATACAAATCTTTGTCTCGTCTAACCTTTGATCGCGGGCAGTTTTCAGCAGTTATTGGGAAAGTACTGTTTTTTGTTTGTTTCAAACACTACTCGTTTACTAGTTTCTTGGTTCATAACCATGCCCGTTTACTAATAAATATTTTTTTGTTCCAAACATTAACCGTTTAGTATTTGTTTTAACAATGCCCATTTATTGGGAAAGGACTGTTTACGAAAACGATCTTTCTCTTACTAACATTCTAACTAACAATATACAGATAGACGAGCCGCGCGGATGCATGGTCACTCTACCAAATAATCTAACTACTATAATAATACGTACACGAATCATGTGCGATTTCTACATGTCGTTGGTCCATTAGTTGTCCTATACAAAATGGAGTACGTAATAGTCGTACGCTGTGGCAACACATAACCCGCGATGAGGCTGCAGAAAAAACCTAAAACTCGCCATGTTCGCAGTAATACTTCGCTAAAGTACGGCAAGCCAGACGAGGCTTCAGTAAACCGTTAACTGCGTTACGCCTTTGTCTTCTTTATCGCCGGCATTATATGTACGACTGCATTACCAGTGCAATATCTAATCTGGATACAAAATCCCGACTCTTCTTTTAGAGACCTTCGCTCTCATTATATAATTTCTGGAAAATACCCAATTTTGAAGCGATTAAAAACAGGACCAGTGGGTGGGTTCCAACTCACAACTCCAAG